AGATCATTGTTATTATTCTGGCAAGCTCCGCCTTGCCCTCTGTTTTAAAGATGATTTTCTTCTGCTTATCAGTCTCTTCAGCTCCTTCGTGACCCAGAGCTTGTTATAGGGACAGGAGGATACAGATTGTATAGGAATTAAACTATCAGCACAAAAGGAGACACAGCTGCATACAACGTCTGTCAGTTCATTAATACTGTCTGATGATTCCTCAAAAACAGACCAGTCCGTACAATTAAAGCATCCTTGGAGAGCCAGACCACTGTCCTTGTCCCAGTCCTGGCCTTCACGCCTCTGCACCTCTGCACCCTGCACCACCTCTGGTGCTGGTTAATTGAGCCATAGCATAGATCCAATATTTTATTACTCCGAGTGGGACGTGTGATATATTGAGTAAAGCTGCTAAGTGTCTTTTTACAGGTGACATGGTTGAAGTCACCAAGGAAAAGAACCAATACGGTGTGTTAAAAAAATGACATTATCCTAAAGTACAGATATATTGTGTAAGCAGCTCTTGAGGTCAAATAAGTCTGCTGTGTATTGTCAGAATCTAAAGCATTTTATTATAATTAGGAAATATGTGGAAGAATGGTAGCTGTTGCTTTACCATTGTTGCCTCGGTCCTATAGTTGTAATAGAAGCCACTGACTACACACTGTGTTCGCAGTTATGACAGAGTCCTCTATTGTTTACACTGCACCTGGCACTGAACACTCAACCCCCATTGGTCCCCTGAGCACACCCGTCATCTCCTCACCTCCTCCGCTCTCTGATTGTCCCGTCTTTGGTAAATAAACGCTGGAAAAATGTCCCTGGAGGACTTCCGTAACTGTATAGATTATCATTCTTATGTCACCGCCACGGACAGTTTACAGACTCAACAAAGCACAAATGGCATTGATTGTTGTGAACAGAAGAGAGGCAGGAGCTATAGATCAGTACAGTCCCCACAGAGTTACACTGTTCGGCCTGAATGTGCCCGTGTGTGGAGGATGTGGGGTTATGTGGGGCCCTGGGACGAACTTTCAATATAGAATCTGTGGAAGAGACGGGATAAAGCTGGTCATAACACCAGCCGCAGCTTCAGTGGTAAAAGAAAGAATACAGGAGGTCACCATGTTGTGTAAATGTGCAGGGATTACTCCATAGAGGTTTGACTGAAGATTTGTTGAATGTCTCTCCCCACTCTTCACCCCACAGTTTTTAAGTTCCCATATGATCCCATTCCCATATGAAGACCTGCTAGTGTACATATGTGCTTCTAATAACCCTGAAAATTCAAATATATATATATATATATATATCAGCACCACGAACCTGTGCCACCATTTACAGACAAGACCATCAGCAGCACATCCTCTGTCACAGCGAGAACACTCATATTACACTGAGCCATGTCCTTTAGTCCAAAAGAAGCTGAACGCACGAGCAGCACAAGGAAAGAGCTGTTAATGCAAATGAGCCATGTGATTTTAGGTTTTGTTTCTGTAAAATGTAAACACATGTGCGCAAAGCAGCATTAAACACATGATAATGTCAAACAGGATGATGTGGCTCTAGAGTCGTTATGTTTATATGTTGTAAAGTTTATTTATGCAGAAGATTTTAATCAATAATCAGCTGCAGTATAATTTGTACAATAGTGTTTGGAAACGTTGGGTTTGATCTGCAGTGGACTGTGGGAAACCTCAGAGCTCCTTACCGCTCGATAGAAACATGGATCTGTTCAAATAATGAACCTCCTGAGCTTCCTCTACTAAAGGAGCTCATGGTTATTGTATGGTTACAGAGTTAATGTAAAGATGAGCTTAAGTTGAGTTGTTTTATTTATGAATGAAAAGAAGGAAATATGTATTATTTCTTTTATTTTACAGTTAAATTATTATATATGTACTTAGGGATTTTTTGTAATCTTAAATGTGGCAGAAGCACTTTGTTCCTACATGAACTGCCGACCTCTTGCACTTCAATAAAAAGAAGACATACGGAATTTGGCATATTTGTTTTTGCCTGTACAGATATTGAGATAAATATATCCTATATCGAGGTACAGCAAAATATATCGAGATATATTTTTTGATCCATATCACCCAGCCCTAATATAATTCAACAAATAAATACATAAAAAATAAAATATGTAAATGTATGATCAAAAATATCACAAGTCAAATGCAATTAGGGACGCAACAATACCACTTTTTGAAAACCGATATGAGTATAATCATTTCTGTACTTGCTGATATTGAGTACAGATACTTTAACCCTTTCTGTGGAGAATAACTTGATGACGAGTAAACGCCTCATCCTCTACTCGGCTGTCAAACTTAAAAGGGAGATTGGGCAGACGCTGATACTCCAAATATCAGTCGTGAAGTTTATTGACTCATGAACCACTGACCTAACGTGAGTTTTCAGGATCGAACACTTTAGGCAACATCACATCTGTGCTGTAGCGACGTCTGGGCAGCTCGTGTCTGGGCTCTAGAACATCTACAAGACGCTCAAACACAATATCTTCAACGACTGAAAGTGACTCGTCCAAATCAGTGTAGTGGGTAAGTGCCTCAGTTATTTTTGTTGCCCGAGTCTTTGGACATTTTCTCTCACTTCTTGAAAACTTTGTTAAAGTTGTCTGTTGGTCACTGGTGCTGCTTTGGTGAACTCGGCGTACTTATCTCTGTGCTGTGTCTTCAAATGTTTGATTCAAGTGCTCGTATTAAATGAGGTGTTTTCCTTCCACCTCTCCGCACTTTCGTACTACATCATTTGCAATCTGCCTCACTCCTGTCGTCCTCCCTGATACTAAAATACTTCAAATGCTGAAGACGACATGATTGAACTTTATTTGTGCATGACGAGGCCTGTCTTCTGACTCTCTGTCTCCCCCTGGACAGTGAAGTTAGATGAATAAATGGCCTCCTGTATGTGACCAGTGATGTTGTGTATCGTGTAATAGCGGTATTGTCAAATTTTTAATGAATACAAGTAGGGGTGTCAAATTATCGCATTAATTGCGATTAATTAATTACAGTCATATTTAGCGCATTATGTTTTTAATGGCGTTAATCCAATTTTTAATCTCTAACTTTACTGTTTCTATATGCGAGTTGCCTTATTATAAAATCCCGCAAAGAATTGTAATTTTCATTCACGTTCTCGCCCGCAACTGCGATAAACCTGCACATGTATGATCTTTGAAAACATCGTGACACACAGAACAGACTCAACTTCAGCATCAACATCCCTCTGTCACAGAAAAAACATTCATATTCCACTGAGTCGTGTCCTTTAGTCCAACAGCTGAACCACATCAGCACACAAGAGCGATTTCTTTTCTTTTCTCCGCTTACTTTATGCAACTTGCGCAAACACATTCTAATGTCAAACGGGCTGATGTGGCTCTAGAGTGGAGATGGTTTATATGTTGAAAGTTGAGTTTGTTTATGCAGATTAGTAACAGTAATAATAATGATGATACTGTGGAATGTAAATGACTGCATCTGTTAAAAAGGTTTGTTAAACAACAAATTACTTTATAAAGTCACTTTTTTGTTCTATATCAGTCTTTTGATCTGCCACAATAATGTAATAATGATTTAAATGAAAATACTTCAAGTTGAAGCTTTTCTCAGCAATTTTTAGGTGAGATTACAAAATAGATTAATTAGATTAATTAATTACAGATCATAATTAATTAATCTCTCAATTTTTTAAATCTCTTGACAGCACTAAATACAAGTAAAAAAAAAGGTATTGTTAAAAATGAAAAGCAAAAAAGCAACCCCCCCCCCAAATTTTTACTAAATTAAGATCCAATGGTAAAAGAAAGAGTTATAGCAGGTTGCCGTGTTGTCTAATGCCACTAGCTCCTCGACTTCCTGCACACTTTCTACTATCACAAATAATGAGGCCAGAGATTGTAGCTGTAATTATCACAGAGGACTGAAAAACATTGTGAATTTCTGCAGAATCAATGAGCAAAGCACTAAACTCTGTTAATTTGAGTTTGGTCTCTCCCAGGCACTATTCGAATCCCCCTAATATTTGGCAGTGCGATTCTGTCCAACGCTCACGAACATTTTTCATAAACATACAAAAACAGGACACAAAACAACACACTACAACTTCACAAACCTGACGCAATGTAAACATATGATGTACTTATGTTATGTGTTAGGAATTAACACCCCACACAAGTGTAATACCTCCTGTTTAAAGGGCCCATATTACACTTTTGTTTTGTAATCTATTTTATAATTTGATAAAGTTTCATCAGACCTGGAGTTGTGTTTTGTTTCGTTCGCACACGTTTAACACACAAACTCTGCACACTACACACTGTTCCACCTTGTGATGTCATGTGGTAATACAGGAAGTGCTCCAGTATGTTTTTAAATTCGATACACTTTCACTAGAATCAGAATTCAGCCTGGAATTTCAAATCTCTACTGGACAAAAAGTAAAAGGTTAAAATGTTCACTTGAAAACTACCTCTTCATGACATCACAAGGTGGAACAGAGTATTTTGAGCATTGGAGATGTAGACAGACTCATAATAAAGGGTTGCTGAATGAAACAAAACACAACTCCAGGTCTATTTTTGAGGAGGTATCAACATTTTAATATTCTGTATGTCTTAAAATCACGAGGGTAAATGTTGTGCAATACTAGTGTAGGACCTTTAAGCCAAAACACACTGATACACAAAAATAATCTACTGTAAAAGTGTTTGGTGCTTGGATTCAAACCAGAGCATTTTGTTGACAATATAAAAATGGCGTTGCTAGAGCTGAGAACATTTTCCAAGCTCTGCTTTTGTTCCATTTCATCACTTCAAGCCTTCTTACGTGGATTAAGAGCATTGTCCAGCCTGCTCACAAAGCCATTCAATACGACATCTTCTTACATGCTCGACGCTTTGCTGTATGTTCAACTCAAGTGGATATCTTGTGGTTGAAAGAAAGAAAAAGAAAAAAAAAGGAAAAGACTATTGAACTTACAGTCAAGGAAACACCACTTTGGAGATAGGCGCTGTGAGGAGACGGTCTTGGCTTCTTCCTGGAACAAAACACACATTAAACTAGTACATTATCAGATAGAGCTAAAATGCTATAGCAAAGTACAAGCATGCACAGAAGACTCGGACACACAGCATGCGTGTACTGGACGAGATAACACTATTGTGTTGTGTATCGAACGTGGAATTGGAAAACGGTTGAACCTTAAAGGAAAGTTCCAAGGTGACTAATAGCTGGAAACGCACCAGCACACAATGCTACTGAATAAGATGTGAGGCACGTTCATTGGATTCTGCGTGGGCAAATGTACAAGACTGGCTCCAGACAGGTTTGGCTGGAGATCTGTTGAATGTCTCTGCACACTCTTCACCTCACACTTTTGAAGTCTCTCATTTGATTTGTAAGGCCTGTGTATGTAAACATGTGTTGCTTCTAACCTTCATAATTCAAATAATTATAGTTTGACAAGGCAAAAAATATGATTAGTCAAATTTGTAGGCTATGCACAAAAAATTTAAAAGGAAAAATTGAAAATGTCCCTTTAAAAAATGAAAATCTACATGAAAAAAAAAAAAAATCTTTACTCTTTATACTGTAAAATCAGCTAATTATGGTAAAGGATAATGAATGATTTTGCTAAAACATTTTAAAATACATTTTGTTGGATGAGAACCATAAAGAACCAGCAACTTAAAATCCTTTAATTTTCTCAAAAATGGACAGTGCACCTTATAATCTGGTACACCTTATGTATTAATTCTGGTTGTGTTTACTGACCTCAAACTGATTTAATGTGGTACACGGCACTTAAAAATCTGTAAAAATGTTTTAGTACAACTTTAGTAAAGTATGAAGCCACATTGCTTGATTTATTGTCGGAGCGTTACAGGTGACTGTAGTCATGAGCCTTGTGGAGTAAAACACATTCAACAACAGACAGGCAACGCCGGGCCAGCTACGCCACGATGGATCATGGATATTTGGGCTAGAGCATGGAAACCCGACTGAAGTCTGATGGGTCGGGTGCTGAAGGGTTTTTACAAATATTAGAATTTATCTTCAGGCTCAGTTGGAACTTGAACACATCAGCGCGTCAGCTGTTTTCTGTTTAGAGTAAAACCACTCACTTTGAGACACTTTAAGTCAAACTAAATATTTATTGAATATTTATTGAAAATTTTCAACAACATCTGGATGCTTTCTCTTCTTTCAAGATATGTAATGTTTTATTATTTATTTATTTATTTATTTAATTGTAAACATCTGTTTCTCACTGGCTTTTATTTGGAAAAAGTACACCTTTAAGTTTGACGTCTTTTCTTTACACTTTTTTCATTTTTTTCTGACCACGTGAGATGCAACGTGTCCGAGCCTCCGCGAGCCGCGGGCCTGGCTGTGGGTTCAGCCGCGGGCACCAACTCTGAGCTGAGCTTATTTCTTTAGTTCAGCGCTGCAGGAGGAGTCACTGATTTACCCAGATACCATTGGAAGAAAAACTGTGATTGGTCCATTTCCATTCCATTATATTAACCCTTTGTTTCCTAAGAAATATCAGTCCAAGTTTATAACACTGATCTAGAAATTATTACTAGAGTAGTGTTCATTACTCACAGCATAAAAAATATTCAATAAATATATTAGTAGTACAAACGTCCATTCAATATTTTTTCTTGAGCCTTCCCTGAAGACCTTGAAGGCTCTGAGGGTTCCCCTGTGAAAGAAATGCTGTTTGCACAACAAATGTTTGGCTCTTTCATTTACATTTCCAATAAAAGTTGCTATACTCTACTTTTTAATTAATTAATTGGTTTTGCGTATAACATGCGATTAATTGTTCGATCTCATGCGATTAATCGCGATTAAATTTTTTTTAATTTTTGCCCAGCCCTAGTAATGTTAAACCTTTTCTTATTAAAATAAATGTTTAATAATAGTTTTGCTTAAACATTGAATCCAAAACAAGTAAAATAATAACACAATTTTAAATAAATAATGACTCTATGGTCTATCTGTAGCCTGCAGGCAGCTCTAATACGGATTTGATATGATCTCGCGGGCCAAATATAATTATATTGTGGGCCAAATTTGGCCCCCAGGCCAGAGTCTGACATGTCTGCTTTAAGTGTTCAAAGATCAGACTCTGTACTTCTAGTTTAGATACAAGTCAAAACTGTGTTATTATTTGTAAATGTGGAGCAAAACTTCAGATACAGGATTTTTAAAGCATAAACGATTGGAGATAAAGTCCACAGGAAGTAGAGTCACTGTCACTAATCTGCAGCTTCACCTCGATCCGTGCGCTGTCTGGATGTAAACAAACACACATGAGGAAATACTCGCCTTTTTATTTTTAACACTTCAAGTTGTTTTGTGGACTGAGGTCATTATTTGCCAGGAACAATTTCTATGGATAATGTGGATGAGGAGAGTAATAAAGTCTTCTCATTATTTTTGCTCTGTCCTGAGTTTGTATTTTGTGTCTCTGTGTCTGTTAGAGGAACACAAACAATATCCTGCATGTGTCATTAGGTCTGTGAAAATAGTGTGATTTTAATTGTGTCTGGTTCAGACACAAACATATTAATGCCAGTCGGCTCTGGTCGGTTTCGATCACTGCTCTGTCCGATGCGGGCCGGGCTGGGATAAAAAAATTTGGCCGATCCAAACTCTAGCCTAGGCTGAGTTATTGTGAATGAGTGGAATAAAGTTTGACTTATCTGTTTTGTTTTGCTTAATGCGCCTTATGTATGAAAATAGAGGAGAGAATTCAACATCATTGATATTGCGCCTTATAATCCGGGGCGTTTATAGTCCGTAAAAAAAACCAAACAGCAATTACAAATGTAGCTGGGGAACCATATGGAAGCTACTGCCTGTGACTATCCCTAACAGTTTCACTATCACTGACTAAGTGGGCGGAGCTAACAATTAGTTAAAATACTAATTGTTTTTTAACTAACTGTTCAAAAACAATTTTTGATTCATGGCTGAAAATTCTGACACAGTCCCTTTATACCATGATAAAACGCTAAAAAGCTCATCTCTGGAAAAAAATGCCTCTGCAAAGCTCAAAACCTTTTGTTAATAATTAATCATCCATCTACAAACCTAATTAAACTCATAATTATTTTTCCCTGCTTATTGTGACTTCACAGAGCTGCTACTGTACTCGTATCTCCTTTGTATTGTATTGTATCAGACAAGAAAACAGACTTCACACAATCCACTAAATCTGCAAAAACCTGCCTATTATCTTGCCATGGTTTGACGCACAATAAGAACTTCCTAATTAGAGGAAATCTTCAGATACAGGCCTGATCCCGTGTCACGTCTCTTACACTTGCTAGCTGTCGTGTAGCTTTCACATCCCCTCGTATTTGGTCTAGCGAGCCAAACTTTTTTTTCCTCTTTCTTTCGGTTTCGTTTGCTTTTATTCCTATGTCTAATTATGTGTGGGAGCTGCGGCGAGGGAGTAGATCAGAGCGGCGCGGGCCCCCTTGTGTGTGTGTGGGTAAACTGACCGGGCCCCATAGCGCGCTGTCAGGGGCCTCAGATCAGGCATCAATAGAGAGAAAAATATAAAAAAAAAACGTAAAGCTGACTTACTCATTTGACCGTGCTGTGTGTTATGAGTTTGCAGTGTGATTTGAGCTGGCCGCAGCTTTCAGCAGTGATCCATGTTTTGGTGGAACTTTCTAAAGTGGCTAAAGGAAAGTCGGTAGGTTTTTGTAAACAGAACTAGGGCTGCGCATAATTAAGAAAACATGCTAAATAAAATATGAAGATTACAGTACAAGTTTGATTGTTAAAAAAGTGGATGATCTAAACTAGTTTGATGATGTGGGTCAATTCAATTCAAAATAAATTATTAAAGCCATAGTATGTTTTTAGCCCAAAGCATGTTTTTTTTCATTATTATGGATGTTTCTATAGGCTCTATTCACGCTTAAATCACAAAGCACGAAGACATTTGGAAAGATGCGATGACAACTTCCGGTGGGTTCTGGTCACAGTAGTAAGTCTGACAAAATCTAGGAAAAATAAGAAAATGTCCCAGTTTTCTTCACCTCCATGTCATTGTAGAGTTCCGTTATGTTCGGTTAATCAACATTTACAACTAGGGATGGGCATGCTTAGTCAATTAATCGATAATTGATCATTAAGAATTTCATCGATTACGTTCATTTTCATCCACAAACTGAATGTAGGTTGCTGTGTGTAGTGTGACCAAACAGGGGTCTGTACATGTAGCTCTCTGTACTCAGCGAGACACAAACAGTCGGTCAGTCTGCAACATGCCAAAGCGCAAATGCGTATTTAACGATGCCTTGTGCAAGAAATTCCACACTTTCCGTTGCGGTCGAGACAAGTGTGAGACCATGTGCACAGTGTACAAAGCAGCACATATGTGTCGGTGTCCAGTGGGAAAAAGTTTTACCAGGTGAGAGTCGCTCAATGTCGATGACGAGGCCCCACCACCCTCCCCCCATACAGTGTCCTGGTTTTGACAAACGCAAACATGGTCACACTAACATGTATTCCACTGAGTCATGTTGCATCAGCGCACAAGAGTTGTTTTTTTTCTTTCCTTTTCTTAGTTTATGAGCCATGCAGTTTTAAGTTTTGTTTCTACTTGCACAAATCTGCATTAAACACATTCTAATGTCAAACGGGCTGATGTGGCTCTAGAGTCGTTATGGTTTATATATATCATAAAGCTGAGTTTATTTATGCAGATTAGTAATGCAGATAGTAATAATAATGATGATAAATTTTAATATAAAAATGTTAATGACTAATTGATAATCGATCATTAATTCTCCCGATGATCGATTAAGAAAATTTTATCGAATGCCCATCCCTATTTACAACCACACCTCAGTTTTCATCATTTCCCCACTGACACACAACTCCGAGTGCACTGGTACATGTGATTAGAAGAGATGAGGTGACAAATTCCAGATGATTCCAAACAGCACATACGTCTGCAGTCTTCATTTTACCACTGATCACATTTACTTCAGTGGGTTTGATCACAGT